GTTAGTGCCTAAGCAACTTTACTACTTACCAGCCACACACTTATGTGCCAGTGTGGCTCTTTAAGAAAATCTGAAGGTGGTTAATAGTTGCCTTGGATATAGCAGACGCTGGTACTATGGTTGCACAACGGCCTATATCAAGATTCCAGGCACGGATTGACGGATTGAGCCGGCGGGCTACCAGGCAAAACCCAGCGGGCCGTTAGGCGTTAACAATTTGAAAGATTTGGGTCGGTTTGTTGATATTTTAAATCAGTGGAAATATCTTATACATAGTTTATTAATTATAAATCTTTTTAAGTAAAAAAATTGTTTAAGAACGTGGGTCGGTCTGGAGAGCCCAGTAAGTAATTTCTTCCCATTCCGGCGGCGCTGCCTATATCGGATCACGACGTGGCTAAGCGCCGAATGTTCTCATCAAATCTGACAAAAAGCCGCATACAAGAGCCCTCTACGATGTTGGAATTTCATATTTTTGAAGTTATAGCTATTTCAAATTTGGAGTTGAGTGGTAAATACTAAATACATAGATGATATATTGTCTATGGGTGAATATTAAATAGTATATCGTAGATTCGTAGAGCTAGGCAGCCTAGGCCTTATATGAGAAGATTTTGAGGATTCGACTTCTCCCTCCTCGAAAATTGGTTTCTGCTACGGCCATGTAGAGTATTGATAAGGCTAGCAGCTGCTAGGGTCTAGATAAACGGTTCTCAACCTTTTTATATCTGCAATCTGCATTGACTGCATTCTGCCAGACTGCGTACCACCTGAACAATTTGAAAATTGTTAAGTACTATTAAATTTCGACTAAATAACTTATCTTTTATGTATACATTATTGACTTAATATATTATACTTATAAATATGTGCGATAATTATTAATAATATTAAATAAACCTAATATTAATTATTATAATTTGAGATACATAATGTATCATACATTCCATTTTTTTTTATGAAGGGAGATATTTTAGAGTAGGTATTACCCATGAGATTTTCGCGTACCATAAGTTGAGAAACGCTGGTCTTGGTTATATTTTTCTACTATTTCACATTATAATAAGTGTCAGTACACGTAATAATAATAATCTGCGTCACTTAGTTGACCTACTTGGCTAGTGGTTTCTAACTCAATACTATACATGGACCACTTGTAAATTATCCGTCATGGACCATGACTTTGTTTTAAAACATACAATCTGTAATTTAATATTAACAATAAGTATGTATTCAGTTCATATTAATTTAGACACTTGAAAAAATAAGTCATCCAATGGTGACACTTTATACAGAAATAAATTAGCTTAATTTTTAGAATATTTAACTTTGGTTGGGATCACGACATTATTGTCTCCACTTAACT